TCTTTCCCTAACTCTCATTAAATTACTCCACTTGGTTGTGAGTTCATGGCAGAAATAAGGGAATCACCTTGGACGTTTTTCTTTCTCTCAGTTTCATTTAATCCTAAGACTGAGTGACAGTTATATGAAAACTCTAATTGAATTTCTCAGAGGCCTAGCAATGAAAATGAGCCACAGAGAGAATAAAGATTATGAAATATTATCTTAAAAAGTAGTTGGGTGTTTGGGTGAGCCAGTGGTGTGGTAGTTAAGGCAGCTGATCCCACATGGCCGACTGCATGGTTTGAGTCCCTGGCAGATTGAAAAACACACAGTTGCATGTGAGCGTGTGCCCAAAATTCCCTAAAGGAGAAAGAAATGGAGAAGGGATTGAGGCATGACTATCTCCCATGGGGGGATGCTTTCTTACTTTTCCTGCCTCTCTAGCACCTGATAGAAAAAAAAAAAATGTATTCTAGCCAGATATCCCTGTAATTGATTTTCTTTCAGTGTCTATATATCTCTCATTTATTTTCTCTCTTTCTAAGGCAATTTTAACTTGCTCAAAGCAAATCGACAAATCCTCCGTGTACAAGTTCCTAGAACCATGGCTTGGCCTAGGACTTCTTACAAGGTATGTCAGTGTGAATTTGCAAAGTCTTACAGAAACCACTACTTTGTATGTAACTAGTTATTTCAGGAATTGGCACAAGGTAGTTTTTTCTGTAGCAAACCTGTACTCTCAGGAGGGAGGAGAGAGATTAGAAGGACAGGTCCAGACAACAGTAGGCCTTTGGCAGATGGAAGTCTAAGAGTGTTTGGTTATTTCCAGCCATGGTATTCAGTTATACCCAAGAATTAGGAGGATGTGGTGTTTGTGAGCAGGGAAATCTTGAAAATACAAAACAAAACAAAACAAAACAAAAAAACCCAAAAAAACAAAAACAAAAACAAAAAGTCAATCAACCCCAGAGAAGTCTATTGAGTACAGTGACCTCGGTCCTTGAGCTGGCCTCCAGAAACAGGACTCCATCCTCGGAGATAGGGCCCAGCAAGAGAAAAGTAAGTGGCTTGCAAGGACTTTAGAGAAACTGACCGTGGTAGAGATCACAGTAGGATCTTGGAGAATGTGGATCATCTGAGGACTAAAGTAGTATAAAGGAGAGAAAAAATGTCTTATTTTTAGAATCTCAGAACTTATATATGGAGACAAATCCTTAAGTTTTCAATTTTATGAATACTATTTCAAATATTAGTATTATAGAGGTCAGCAGGTGGTATGGTGGTTAAGGCACTGGACACTCCCACATGGCCGACCAAGGGTCGAGTCCTAGACCTGGTGACTTGCTTTCTCCCTTTCTCTCTCTCTCTCTCTCTCTTTCTGTCTCTCTATGGTCAAATTAAAATGAATGAATGAATAAATAAAATTTTAAAAATAAATAAACAAATAAATACTAGTAGTATAGAGTAATATTTTAAAAATCCACATTTTGTGGAGTCAGCAGGCATTGTGGTGGTTAAGGGCACTGGATTTCCACATGGCTAACCATGGTTCAAGTCCCAGACCCGGTGGCTTGCTTTCTCACTTTCTCTCTCTCTCTGTCCCTCTCTAGTCAAGTTTAAATAAATAAATAAATGTTAAATATAATTGTTCTTTTACAAAGTAAATAAATACACACATAAAATAAAAACCCACGTTTTGTAATTATATATGAATGCATAAAGATAATAGGTGTGCGTGTAGGTGAGTATTCACAAAGGGGAGGCTTCAAAAAGGTCATGGGAAACCTTCATGTATTATGAAAAAACGATGCATGGTTTCAAACATTTTTTTCACCAACTAACCTCATACTTTTATCCCATTTCCCCCAAAACCTTTTGCAACCCCATTGTATTTCTTTCTCATTCTGTTTAAAGCACTTGAGAATCTGCAGACCAAGCTGGGAGAATTTTGTTCATGCTTTATTTGTTCTGGATATTATTTCTCTTTTATTTGTAACCATTGATTGTGTTTCTAGTACTGGAAACAAATGGCGCTCCAGGAGGAAAATGTTAACACCCAGTTTCCATTTTACAATTCTGGAAGATTTCCTCGATGTCATGAATGAACAAGCAAATATATTGGTTAAGAAGCTTGAAAAACATGTTAACCAAGAAGCATTTAACTGCTTTTTTTATGTCACTCTTTGTGCCTTAGATATAATCTGTGGTAAGTCTCATCGATTTGTTTCTCAATTTCTAGGTCTAGAGAGAAAATGGCTCAAGGAGTAAAGCACCTTCTATTGGGATTAGAAAGGACAAGGGCATTGGAATCTTTGGGGCTGGGATGGGTTACGACAGCTAAAGTAGCCTTCTGAGGTACAGCAGCCACGTTGAGGGTTCTGGCTAGAGCAGTCATAGAACCCCCTTGCCAGGAGGGTCAGGAGGAAGAAGGAACAGGGAGGAGAGAAAGCAGAAAGTTGAAGAGGAGAGCTGCACGGGAGGGAAGAACGATTCTGAAATACTTCAGAACAGAACGGAACGTTTGCTTCTGCACCTGCCACTGCAAAACAACAGTGAACTGAAAAGCTGCTTCTTGCCCATCTTTTCCAGAAACGGCAATGGGGAAGAATATTGGTGCTCAAAGTAATGGTGATTCCGAATATGTCCGGGCAGTTTATCGGTAAATGGAATCCTTTCGATTATGGTTTACACTGTTATTAATTTGAGCTTTAAAAATTATTGGCAATATTTTTGTGTTGTATCTCTTCAAAAATAAATTTTAAAAAAAATTTTGTTATAGGGTGCATGCGCTTACTGGAGACAGACAGAGAAAGGGCGAGGGAAAGTGAGAAGTCACCCCTCAAGGGGGATGGCCGCATTGCAGTCCCTTCTCCTTCATTCTTCTCTTGGGATTTCGGGCCCTCACATGCATGTACCTGCTGCAGTTTTACAGGCTGCCAGGTCTGGACTCCACCACACAGCTGGCCATGTGCGATCCAGCCGCCTGAACCATCACGCCATCTACTGGCCCTTGTATTATGTCTTTTTTATTGTTTCAAAGTGAAATGTTAAATTACAAATTAAACTCAAAATGTAAATATGTATTTCAGCAACAGAGGAGAACCAATGTAAATCTGCCACATCTTGATTATGCAGTAATCGTTTGAAATGATTACTTTCTAATATATTCAGATTATATTATGATGTATATTCATTATGATACTTATATTATGAATTATAGAAAAGATCATTTTTATGGTATGTTAATCATTTTTATGATTTTCTGGCAAAAATATTTTTTATAGTATGATAACAATAGTTTCTAACAAAATGATATTATATAGTATGATAACAATATTTAAAAATTACTTACAGAAGAGCCAGCAGGTGGCATGGTGGTTAAGGGCCCTGGACTCCTACATGGCCGACAGTGGTTTGAGTCTGGGACCTGGTGGCTTGTTTTCTCACTTTTTTGCTTTCTCACTTTCTTTCTCTCTCTCTCTGTCCCTCTCCGGTCAAATGAAAAATCAATACATAAAGTTAAATAAAATAATTCTTTGAAAAAAAAAATTACTTACAGAAGCAACTCTAGAAGCTCCATACCGGAATGTTAGCAGCTGTGGTCATTGCTTAGCGCGTGCATTTCTGCTTGGTACTGCATTTTGTTTTCGTTACTTACTCTCCTCGCCCATATTTCTGCAATGAGTAGATATTGTGCCTTTTTTTTTTTTTTAAGAATTATTTATTTAACTTTATTTATTTATTTATTTTTATTTGACCAAAGAGGGACAGAGAAAGAGTGAGGACAGAGAAAGTAAGAAAGTAAGCCACCAGGTCCAGAATTTGAACCGCCGTCAGCCATATGAGAATCCAGTGCCCTTAACCAGCATACTGCCTGCTGGCCCCGAATAGATACTAAGCTGAAATAATCCCTTTTAATTTAAAATGGCTTACAGTTATTCAACTATCAAGAACAGGTCCAGGATGTGATTTGATGTGTCACTGTCCCCTTCATTTTCCCAGGTACTTATTGTCTGTAGTCTGCTGGTCATCACTCACTATACTGACTGGGTTTATAGCAGTCCACAAAACAGAATAGCATAGGAGACAAACATTGCATAAATACACACACATGTGTAGATGTATAATTGCTTGGAAAGGAAAGACCTCGTTGAGACTGAGAGGAAAACCGGGACAGGGCCAACAGATTGAGGGGCTAGGAGAAGACTCTGATAACTGGCATCTACACCGGTCCTGAAGGAGGGTTAAGTAGGGCCTGCTTCCTTCCTGCTCTACCACTGAGAACCAGGAGGTGCTCAGGACAGATGCATATTTAGTGAGCACTTTCTTGCAGAAGAGGGCAGCCAGTGGTTTATTTGTCATGCCAGAGTCATGGTCAGATGAATGAATGGACCTTTAAAGAGGAAGATTTCATTTCAACCTCTGGCACAAAAGCCCAAGGTAACCTTTGGAAGTTGCAAAGTTGCCCTGGAGAATCAGAAACAGTTGGCTTCCTTCTGATATAGCCATCGATCTAGTTCATGATAATGTTGTATAACAGATTCTTCCTTCCTCTGAAGAAATGCCTTATGTATTATTATTATTAGTTATTTTGTTTTAGGGCACGTGCATCCCCAGGGCCGATGGCCACACTGCAATCAATCCTTTCTCCCCCATTCTTCTCTTGGGATTTTGGCATGCACACACATGTGCCTGGCATGTTTTTCAAGTTGCCAGGTCCAAGACTCCAACCACGCAGCTGGCCATGTGGGATCCAGCCACCTCAAGCACGAAGCCATGGGCTGACCTGAAACCCATTATTGCATTGGTTGGGTAACAGCTCATGCTTTCATTGTTTCATGTACAGCATGGAGGTTTTCATAGTCTCAAAGACCAATTGTGATCATCATTCCTGATACTAACTTCAGGAAACACACACTTTGGATGTAACAGCTGATATATTTTAATCCTATTTATAGAATGAGTGATATGGTGCATCGAAGAATGAAGATGCCCTGGCTCTGGCTTGACCTTTGGTATCATATGTTTAAAGAAGGACGGGAACACAAAAGGGGACTTAAAATCCTACATACTTTTACCAACAATGTAAGTCTTTGATTTTTTTTTCTTATAGGGATAAAATTTAGATAACATAAAAAATACTATTACAACCATTTCCAGTGTATCACTCGATGGCATTCAGCATATCCACAGTGTCAGACAAGCATCACCATTTATTATTTCTAGAACTTTCTGTAACTCCACAAGGATATAGTTTAGTAGCATGCCCAATGTAGGATCATGGAACCTGTGTCTCAAAATAAAAGTTGAGTTAAATAATGAAGGGAAAAAGTGGTCAGTGTGATTATATTTAAATGGTGTATTTAACAAGTATTATTTAAGTGTGACGCCAAATATTACAGCAAATGTTGGAAATAAAGTACTGAGAAAGACATGCCCATATTTTTTATACCCTAAGGAGGTTTGTCTAGGAGGGTAGGTTATCGGTATACAGAAAAATCACAAAACCGTGCTGTGAGGCCCAGCTGGTAGGGTGCTACTCAGTAAAGCTGGAACCATATAACAGGAGTTGGATCCTGGGTCAGCCTGGAACACCCCAGGCAAATGTGAATGCCCATGATCCTGGCTGCCTAGAACCTGGAAGTAAAGAGTTTATACACTTGTGACAAGAACGTCTCAAGAGTACTTGTTTCTCTGTCATCTCTCTCTCTTCCTCTCTCTCTCAATAAAATAAATAAACTTAAAAATATTTGAAATGAGTTATGAACACTAATTTTTTCTTTTTTTTTTTTTTTGGAGAGGATATTTTTGCTACAGGGTGTGTGTGCTCGCCAGAAAGACAGAGCCAGAGAGACAGAAAGTGAGAAACCACCCCCCAGGGGGGATGGCCACATCTCAATCCCTTCTCCTCCACTCTCCTCTCGGGATCTTGGGCACACATGCACACACGCCCGGTGTGAGTTTAAGCCACTGGGTCCAGGACTCGAACCGCAGTCGACTATATGGGAGTTCAGCGACATAGCCATTACAGTAACTGCTGGTCCCGAGTTATGAACACTAATTAACAAATGGTGCTGTATTTAAAAAATACAGAGGCAAAGATCTATGCATAAGAGTCTTCTGGGTGGCCAGCAGGTGGCATGGTGGTTAAGGGCACGGGACTTTCCCATGGCTGACCATGGTTCGAGTCCCAGACCTGGTGGCTTGCTTTCTTGCTTTCTCTCACTCTCACTTTGGTTCTGTCCCTCTCTGCTCAAATTAAAATAAAAATAAATGAAAGAATCTCTGGAAAATGTTTAGATTAGGCAATAGGTTTCAAAGGCAAAGGGCATTTATAGCAGTGTAGTAACTTGGAAAAAAGTAAAATTAACCAGATATTACTATTTTAGTTTTTGATGCAAAAATAACAAGGAAAAAGTGATGTTATTTTGAGTATAAGATGTTAATCTTTTGTTAAAGATCTGTTTATGAAAAAGTAAGATTTAATTGGGACTATACATCAAATTAGAATAGAAAAAGTTACTGAAAACAATGCTTATTTAAATATATTCTTTCTTTGCAGTACATTTTGGTTAAAACATATTAGAATTGCTTCCTGAGATGAAGTGCACCCTACCACCAACAGAACAAATGATTAATAAGTCGGTTGATGGTAGATGAATGAGATGTTGGCTTGAGCTGGCCATAGTGGCATATGGAATAATCACATGGTAGGATAAGGATAGCCAACACAGGACTAGCAGTTGGCATAATGGCTATGTCACTGGACTCCCACGTAGTCGACCACGGTTCAAGTCCCAGACCGGGTGACTTAAACTCATGCCGGGCGTGTGTGCGTGCGTATATGCCCAAGATCTTGAGAAGAGAATGGAAAAGGGAATGCGGTGTGGCCATCTCCCCTGGGGGATGATTTCTCACTTTCTGTCTCTCTGTCTCTATTTTTCTGGTGAGTGCATGTGCCCTATAGCAAAACCTCTCAAAAAAAAAAAAAAAAGAATATCAAACACGTTGTATAATTACATTTTCCCTTGAACTTAGTGCATTAAAATCAATTATCAATCGTTAACAAATTTCAGAGGATTATTCATTTAATGAATATTAAGAATTATTATTTTTATTTTTAATAGACCACAGATTAGTTTCTTTTTAACACCCATCATGCCATGAATTCATAGAGAATAGGTTCCAGTAGCTCAGGCTCCTTTCCATTGGTTCTCACAAAGTGTGCTTCTCTGGGTGGAGCAGGCTGGCGCTTTAGTTGAACCCAGGTCCCTTTCTCTGTGGCTTCTTTCTTTTTCTGGTCATTTTCCTTCACACGTTTTAGGAAGCTATCTCTGCCCTTAGAATGTTTAATATGCTCCATACGCACATTGATTCTCTTGGCAAGAATCTTGCCCCTTTTTATGTTATGAAAACTAAAACCACTTAACAAAATTGCTTAACAATTCCACTAACTCTATTTCGATTTGTTTCCTTTGACAGGATACAAGAGAAACTCCTAGTTTGCCTGAGTTTTCAAAGGACATTTCCTTTGTCCCATTGAATGGCCAATAAAGACATAAGTCTAACTGGCAAAGTGAAAAGGGGGTTCTTTAATGAATATTGAAAATTGCATGCTGAACTCTAGTCCCTAGATATTCCTCAAAGAATTTTGGAAAACATAGCATTTTGGCCTCCAAGAGCTTAGAATTTATTCATTCAAGCCACTCAGTAGCAGATTTGATCAGTAGCCTGACAGAGAAAGAAAGTTGACATGTACAATCAAATGAAGTTTCTGGGCATGAATTCTTTGATTTATTCCACACCTATCTAATGAACAGTCTTAAAGTGCCAAGCAGTGCTCTAGAAGTTGGAAATATTTCAATGAACAAAAGCAGATTTGCTACACATGGATGTCAGCATTAGAGTTGGAGGAGAATGACACTAACGAGTATTAGTGTACTAACAGTTCAGTAGTACACTAGTAGTATCAGGTCGGAGTAAGTGGAGGAGTAAAATAAAGTAGGGATCGGGAGATAGCAGGTGCTGGGAACTAGGGTAGCTAAGTCAGGGAAGGTCTCTGATAATATGACAAAGAGTAGAGACTGAATTAAGAGGAACCAGCCATGCGGACCTCTGGGGAAAGAGCATTCTAGACAGAAGGTATAGCAAGCAAATAGGGCGAAATAATCAGCTTGCTGTTTCTTTACTCCAATATAACATGTAATGAAAAGTGGTCTATAATTGGTCTATTAGGTAATGATTGCATTCTGTACCACTTGAACTTTTTCTCATTAGCTCGTTCAAATCTCCAGGGTACTATTTAGTAGACTATAGTAGACTATGACTCCAGTCCCATGTTGGAAAGATGGCCCAAAATAGCACTTGAAAGTTATGAATTTATCTGACATTAAATTTGTTTTTAAGTTTCAGCAAATTAGGCCTACTGCATGGTAGAGGGGTAATAGGCTGCTTGGGAGGAACCAGATCCCACATGGCAACGGCAGCTCCAATCCCTAACCCAGTCAGCCTGAGACATGGCAGGCACAGGTGCGACCTACCCAAGCTCAGTGGAGGACAGGAGGGAGGGAATCACGTCACCAGACTCTGTAGAGGATGTTCCTCTCTCTCCCCCCCGTTCTTTCCCCCTCTTATGCGGCATGCATGCACTCTGTCCTGAATAAAGAAAAATAAATTTAGTTGAAAAAACTAAAAAACATTTTTAAAACAATTTCACCAAATAATGCCTGAATTGTTAACAGGAAGCTTTACTGTATTTTCACAAGAGCCTACATTGTGGAAATGCATTAAGTTAAAAAGCAGCATTTTTTCATAGCAAAGTGTGTTATTCAGCTATATCAAAGTCTAATCAAAATATGATTGTCGTTTAAATTGTACAGGTCATTGCTGAACGGGCCAAGGAAATGAAGGCAGAGAAAGGAAGCAGAGGTGATGACGGGGGGTCTGTCCCCTCCAAAAACAAGCGCAGAGCTTTCCTCGACTTGCTTTTAAACGTAACTGATGATGAAGGAAACAAATTAAGTCACGAAGATATCCGGGAAGAAGTTGACACCTTCATGTTTGAGGTATTTTACATTGCCATGTTTCAGACATCACCAAATTCCAGTTAGTTTTAGAATCTTTGGTATCATGCTAAAAAAAGGAATACATTTTTAAAATAGTTGCACATCATGAAGCAAGATTTATTACACTTTAATGAGCAATTGCAAGATACTAGATCGACTTTCTTCTTTAGAAAATGATTTTGACGAATCAGTGGATACCTTAGTAAACACAACTTTTTTTATTTTTTCTCAAGAAAACCTAAGGTTCCTCAGACTTTTCCCAACCAGAAGAGCAGACAAAAATTGCTCTCAGTTCTCCATATGACTTCACGCTTCCTCTTTTTTTTTTTTGAGAGGTTTTTGCTATAGGGCGTGTGTGCTCACCAGAAAGAGAGAGAGAGACAGAGAGACAGAAAGTGAGAAATCACCCCCCAGACGGGATGGCCACGCCGCAATCCCTTCTCCTCCATTCTCCTCTCAGTATCTTGGGCACGCATGCACACGCACCCGGCGTGAGTTTAAGCCACCAGGTCCGGGACTCGAACCACAGTCGACTACATGGGAGTTCAGCGACATAGCCATTACGCTAACTGCTGGTCCCCGCGCTTCCTCTTAACCAAACCCACGGACCGTTCTTTCCATCTCCATTTGGCGATTCTAGCAAATGAGCTAGCTATGAGAAGCACTGGCTAAAGACGATAGTAAGAGAACTACACAGAGAACTTAACCAGCTCGCAACTCTAAAGCATTTCTGGCTTTCAATTATAAAAAGAAATGTGTGAAGTGCTTTTTACCAGGATAGTCCAAATATTATATTAAACATTAAAAATAGTGAATTGCTCTACACAGAGGGTCCTTCAAAAATTCATGGAAAATGTGTATTATAAAAAGAAACTATGCTTGGATTTCAAATTTGGGGGCATCAAAAGAAACTTGTAGTTTAATTCCATTTTTGCACACATGTTTTGAAGTACCCTCATGGGTGCATTGCAAAATAAAGAGGAAGAGTGGTTTTCAAAAGCCCCATGTGGTAATCGACTCAATGTGAAGTAAAGCAAAAGGCGTCTGAGTCTCAGTGGCTCAGTGCACAGCCGACATCGGGTTCCTTGCTCTGCCTTTAGCCATAGAAAAGGTGCCTGTGCTCCTGCATTCTTCCTCGTGGAGCCAGGCTCTACCATAAAGTAAAGAAAGCTATGTGAGGGGTGTGTAGACCTGAGTTCTGGTTCCAGCTCTGTGCTCATTAGCCCGATGACACGGTGCCAATCACTCCTGACCTCTGTTACAGTTTTCCTGTGTGTAAAAGAGAGATGGGATCAGTGGTTGTAAACTCTGTTTTCTCGGCAGGACACTGTATTGGAAAACATTAAACAGAAAATGGACATCTGAGTTAGTTGGAAGGTAGAGAGAGGTTCATCTTGTGGATTCTCAGTCCTAATCCCTACTCTAGTGTGTACCCAAAGCGTGTGACCTCAGGCACCTCACCTGTACTTCCTGGGCCTCATTATTATTTTAATAGCACCACCAGGGGCCCAGATGGTGGTGCAGTGGTGAAACGCCGTGCTCTGTGAGACCGTCACACACAGGAGGGCTCCCAGTTGAAGTTTGAAGACCTCGTATCCCTGCGTATGCCAGGCACATGATCTGGGGCTGACTGAAAGCTGGGGGCGGATCATGGCATGAAGTCTTTGTTGGGATGCTCTCTCTCTGTCTCTCCTGCTGATGGAAGAAACAAATAAATGAGGTTATAAAAATAGCACAGGCTTTGTAAAATAGTTATGATGATTGTATTTTTAAAAGTACACCGAGAATTGTGCCTGGCACACAGACAGCATGCAGTGGGTGTTGCTATTATTCTCAGACAAGGAAGTGCAGTGACCTTGTTCTATCTCCACGCTGCCTGTATGTACACACACACAAGACATACACACCTGCAAACACACGCATATCTATAATGTGCACACACACATGCATGCATACACACATGTACACGAACAGCACACTCCCATATGCACCCATGCACACTCACATTTATATACACAGGTGTGCACGCTCACATCCGCCTCTCACCAGTAACTTCTCACGCTTACGACAACACCCACACCGATGATCTCTTTCTTCCAGCTCTAACCTTCTTTCTTCTTCGCATTGAATAGGAGGCTCACCCCAGACAAGTATAATAAACGACCCCCTCTATGAGGTGGAAACAGGCGATACGCTCCATAGCCCGGTTTCCAGCCAGTGGTTAGATATTAAGGCTTTTGCCCCTCCCTCTTCTGTCAGTCTGCCTCAGTAAAGTCTGCTTTACAATCGGCTTCGCTCTGCTTTCTGTGGAGGAGGGTAGTAGAATGAATAGCATCTCTGAGCACAGGCTCAGGCAAGCACAGGCTCGGGTTTTATACCTTAAGATCAAAAAGTAAATGCCTGGGGGGACCAGCAGTTACCGTAATGGCTATGTCGCTGGACTCCCACGTAATCCACCGCGGTTTGCGTCCCGGACCCAGTGGCTTAAAACTCACGACGGGCGCGTGTGCGTGCATGCCCAGGATCCCGCGAGGAGAATGGAGGAGAAGGGATTGCTGCGTGGCCATTCCTCCTGGGGGGTGATTTCTCGCTTTCTGTCTCTCTCTGTCTGCCTGGCGAGCGCATGCGCCCAAGGCAAAAAAAAAAAAAAAAAAAAAGTAAATGCCTCCCCATCTCTAAGATCCACACAGACTCCCCCGTTTTCAAGGCAGGGTGGGTTCCAACATACATTATTTGAAGATCGCTATGAAAGGTTATTAATTGGGACCAGCAGATGGTGTAATGATTATGTTGCTGAATTCCCCTGTAGTCAACCGCAGTTTGAATCTCGAATGTGGAGGCTTAAAACACACCGGGCATGTGTGAATGCATGCCCAAAATCCCGAGAGAGGAATGAAGGAGAAACAATTGCAGTGTGGCCATTCTCCCTCCCCCAGGGGTGATTTCTCGCCTTCTGTCTCTCTGGTGTGTGCACACATCCTATGCAACAATATCTCTAAAATAGAAAATAAATTTTAAGAAAAGATTATAAACTAGTAGAATTACATGAACTTGTACATAAATTTAGTACCTCTGGTCTTGGGAGGTTGGTCAGGGCACGTACCTCTGGAGCAGCCCCAGCCCGGAGCCATGAGGTAAGGTAGTCCCAGATGGTCCTCAGGCCCAGGTGGGCCAGCAGCTGGGTCTCAGAAACACAAAGGGAGGGGGAGGAGAGTCGAATAGAGAGCCTCCACATTCTTTCCTCAACCCTCAGAAATTCTAAGTTGAGACACTCTTTTGAAAATAAGATTAATAAGAAAACCAGTGAAAGTATATTTTAACTGCAGGTGGCCTGCATCACACGGAAGAGACTTCAGTTCAAAAGTATTTCTCAAAGCAATGGCTCAGGCTTCTGGTTCTAGTCACAGGAGCGGTTTTATAGAATAAATACTTTGGAGATTTCTGCCCAGAGAATAAAATACCACAATACTTCCTGTGTGTCACATGGAAAACGGGAAAGTAGGATCTTCCATAGAAGAGATCATTTGTTTTCTCTCATTTTGTCTTAAAAATTTTATGCATAGAACTATGAGATTGTGATTGATTTTCTGATACACCTTTTCATCCTGACCCCATCGTGTTTACAGAATGAAATATTCTCATGAGATGAGGACAGGAGGTAAGAGGCCAATGTCCCAAACTTTGAATGGATAGAGAACAAGGATGTCCAAGATGTTAATATTAGCATGAGAGGCCCACAGGCCTGCACACAGTTGTAGAGGAGACTCTGCAGGGTCATTTCCTGCCTCTGCGTCCTACTAAGCTGTCAGACTAGGAGGCATTATTTTACTTTTTCTTTGGTCTCAGTTTTTAATCCCTAAAATATGAATAACAGTAAAGAGTATGGAGTTTTTGTGAAGATTAATTGAGTGTTTTTACAAAGTATTTACTGTTCTGCCTAAAACTCAACGAGTATTAAATGAGGGTATTTATCAACTTCTGGATGTAGAGAGTATTTCTCAGAACCAAGCACATATCCTCTGGTGTCCACTGTCAACACGTCACCTCTAGAATCGGTGAAGTTAGAGGAGTGCAGATCTGCTTCATGATCTGAACTCGGTTCATCAAAGTCAGACCTTTTTTTTTATCTTAAAAAAGTCTATCTTGGGACCAGCCGAGGGCATAATGATTAGGTCACTGGACTTTAATGTAGTCAACTATGGTTCGAGTTCCGGACCTAGTGGCTTAAAACTCAAGCCAGGCATGTGTGTGTGTGTGTGCCCAAGATTCTGAGAGGAGAAGGGATTGTGGCATGGCCATCCCCTCAGGGAGTAACTTCTCACTTTCTGTCTCTCTGTCCCTCTCTGTCTCTCCAATGACCACATGTGCCCTAGAGCAAAAATCTCTCTGTAAAAAAAAGTCTATCTCCTCTCTCAGTTCCCTTGGAACAGCCCTCATTGGCACAGCAGAATCACTTCCGGCAAAGTGTGCAACACCGTGTGATACAGACGTGCCACCTTGAAGCATGAGCCTCCATTTTCTCTTGTTTGTCTTCTAGTCTTTGCCATAGCACTCACCAGAGAGAGGAAAGTGAGAAATCAAGCCCCAGGGGCACAGCCATGTCACAATCCCTTCTACTCCGTTCTCCTCTCAGGATCTTGGGCATGCACACACACACCTGCCTGCATGATTTTCAAGCCGCCGGTTCCTCTAACCACACAGTCAGCCATGTGGGATTGAGCGCCTTAACCTCTACACAACCTGCTGGTTGTGAACCTCCATTTTCAGGGACTATTTTGTTTGCTTGTTTCTCACGGACATAAGAGTCTGTACAGAATTAATTTATCATCGTCTGCAATCACATTGCAGCTGTCAAATCCAGAGGCAATTCAAAGTAGAGTTATTATGGTCATACCTAATCTTCTCACTATAGCTCTGCTTTATAAACTATTTTTTCCTTGCTTTTGCAGGGCCACGATACAACTGCAGCTGCAATAAACTGGTCTTTATACCTATTGGGTTCTTACCCAGAAGTCCAGAAAAAGGTGGACAGTGAGCTGGATGAAGTGTTTGGTATGTCCCTTCACTAGTTATCCTGTGACTGCTGAGTTATTGAAGCAAATGTCAATCTCACTCATTAAGGTCGTGCAGTAGGACCGTTCTAAAGGGCCTGCAATGAGCCAGAAGCCTTCCACACAGGCTCCCTTCCAGTCACTGTCTCCTTGGCAAGTCTCATCCATGCACTAGCATGCGTTTGCCAATCACCCGGCATGTGACTGCACTGGGCTAGCTTCTGGGGATCTGCAGTTAAATGTTATTGTCCTCAAAGAGCTAACTGCTGGGAACCAGCAGTTAGCGTAATGGCTATGTCGCTGGACTCCCACATAGTCAACCGTGGTTCGCGTACTGGACCCGGTGGCTTAAAACTCACGTCGGGCGCGTGTGCATGCGTGCCCAAGATCCTGAGAGGAGAATGAAGGAGAAGGGATTGTGGCGTGACCATCCCCCTTGGGGGGTGATTTCTCGCTTTCTGCCTCTATGTCTCTCTCTGTCTGTCTGGCGAGCGCACACGCACGCACCCTATAGCAAAAAAAACTCTCAAAAAAAAAAAGATCTAACTGCTTAGGTCTAACAACTAACAGACATATATACTTATGTATGATTTATGGAGTCATAGACCACTTGCTTGATTGATGTGAAAAAAAAAAAAAGGTGCTATCTGGGAACGCAGAGGAGCAGGGGAAGCCCTTTAGAGAAGTACTGGAAAGCTGTTTCATACAGGACTGCATCTCAACGCAAACGAGAGGGAAGATGGGTCCAAGCTGATGGGAGATAGAGTTCTGTTCCCTGACAAGCCGTCTAGAGGCAGAGACTACTAGGCCGATGACAGAAGGGATGCCCTAGGTTCTAGACATGCTCTCTTTTCTCTTTATCATTCTGGTTTTGCCTTCTGGGTTATTGTTCCAGGCATCATGTTCACCTTCAAAGCAAGAAGCAATGGGAGATGGGAATGAAGGGTTCACACAGGGTCTTCAAGAAATTCACAGGAAATAAATATTATGAGAAAACTATGCATAGGGGCTGGTAGGTGGCATGGTGGTTAAGGGCGCTGGATTCCCACATGGTCGGCCATGGTTCGATTTCTGGATCTGGCGGCTTGCTTTCCCACTTTCTCTCTCTCTATCCCTCTCTCTCTCTCTCTCCCCATCTTTGGTCAAATTAAAATAAATAAATAAATAATGTTAAATAAAATAATTCTTTCTGAAAAAGCTAAAAAGCTATGTTGGATTTCAAAGTTTTTGCACCAAAATAAACTTGTACTTTAATTTCATTTTTCCATGGACCTTGGAAGGTTCATATTTATTTCTTATGGCTACTGTAACATATTCCACAAACAGAGAGGCTTAAAACAAAAGAAATTTATCCTCTCATGTTCTGGACACCAGATACCCAAAATCAGTATCACTGAGCCTAAGTCAACATCTTAACAGGACTGCACTCTGGAAAAATCCGTTCCTTGCCTCTTACGCTTTTAGTGGCTGGTGGCATTCCGGGGCTTATGTCCATACACTCACATTTCTGCTTCTGTCTTCCCAATTGCTTTTTCGTCTGTGTGTGTGTATGTGTGTGTGTGCACGCACACACATGAGCACACACAAACATGCACATATTTGTGTCTTTTGCCTTATAAGGATACTTACAAGGACATTCAAGACCTGTTCCCATTATTAAGGGTTATCTCTGTATTTCAAGATCCTTAATTTAATCAAAACTACAAAGATCTTTTTATTCCAAATAACTAGTATTTACAGATTCTAGGGATTAGGACCCAATCTTTTAGGGGTCTGTTATCAACCTACTGCACAGGGGCTACCATCAGTTCTATCCTTCTTTAAGTCACATGGCTCCCCATAGCTGAAAGGCGAAAAGGAAAAATTTAGGTGAGTCAACCAATTATGTATTATCTGATTCAGTTTCCTAGAGAAGGGAAAAGGGAAAGAAGAAATAAAGGAGAAAAGCTGGAGATGGGAGGCATTCAAGGAAGACATGCACCAGCTGGGTCATGGCACAGAAGTGGGACTCGGGAGGGCCAGAGTGACGAGTGAGGGACAGCCAGAGTTCGGGACTTTGGGTTGGGTGCATGGAGAGAGGAGGTTGGAAAAGCAGTTTTGTGCTCAGACTGTGTGAGGACTGAAATTTCATATCAAGAATCAGATTTTATTTTGTGGATCAGAGACTGTATAAACTTTGTGGCACTTTGTAGTCATTTTATTTTTTCCATGTTGATGTTCATTTCTCTCACATTGCCTCTGGTGGGTAGATTTGACCTCCTTTGAGCTCAGATGTTCTTTTGGAATAGGTTCACATGTTTTTGTATCCTTTCAAATTCTAGTTCATCGCTGGTTTCACAAATGCTTGGTCTATTCTTTTTGAGTTTGCTAGTGGGCACATATGCTCACGAGAGAGAGAGAGAGAGAGAGGGAGAGAGGAAAAACAAGAGAGCACCCCCACCCCATGAAGAATGGTTGTGCCCCAATCACTTCCTCATTTCTTCCTCCTTTGGGGATTTTGGGCACACATGTACATGCACCCAGCATGTTTCTCAAGTTGCCAGGTCTTGAACTCTGAGGTTGGCCTCATGGGATCCTGCCACCTTAACCACCAGTGCCCCCAGCTGGCCTATCACAAATGCTTCGTGATTGATTGCTCATAATTGGTTGTACCATCATTACTACCAAAATCTTCATTCTTCTACTTCTTCATGTGCTCATTATGGCTCCCTGTTTTTTCTATCCCCAATATTAATTCTAAAATTTTTAGCAACACATCTTTGGGTCCTAAGTTGCAAGTTGCAAGTTCCAATTCCTTTTATTATTTTTTTTTAACTTGAGATACATGTTGCGTGATATTAAATGAACCATTTTAAAAGGAACAACCAGTGGCATTTGGTACATTGCAGTTGTGTAACTATCACCTCTAATTCCAAAACATTCCCAGCTCCGCAGAAAGAAACCCTGCACTACCAAGTCGTCATTCATCCTTCCCATTTCCCCAGCTCCCAGCCACTGCTAGTTTACTTTCTATACCTGTGGATTGATCTATTCTGGCTGCTTCCTGTACATGGAATCTGATGTGTGACCTTTTATGTATAGTTTCTTTCTCTTCAAGTATTGTCTCATTTTATCCTGCTTATACATAATATTAGAAATTCCACTTCAGCTATGGGTATTTATTAATAGCATTCAGCGCTTTGATCCCTGAATTCTTTGATGTCTCCGCTCCCCTGCTGCCATCCCAAATAGTTCTTTCATTGTCATCTTGTATACTTGAATCAGGGCAGTCTGATCGTCCTGCTAACTTTGAAGACTTGAAGAAACTTAAATACCTGGAATGTGTTATCAAGGAGACCCTTCGCCTTTTTCCGTCTGTTCCTTTATTTGCCCGAACGCTCAATGAAGATTGTGAGATGGGTAAGTAGTCAATAATTGCAGCAGTCGAGAGAGCGAACGTGTCTTCCTGTGTCTTGCTCCAGTCTCATGGCACATTGATTTCTTGTCAGGTGGTTACAGGATTGTGAAAGGCACCGAAGCCGTCATCATCCCCTATGCATTACACAGAGATCCAAGGTACTTCCCAAATCCTGAGGAATTCCAACCGGAACGATTCTTCCCCGAGAATGTGCAAGGACGTCACCCCTACTCATACGTGCCCTTTTCTGCCGGACCCAGAAACTGTATAGGTTTGTATTCACCCTAATGAATTGGACCTTTCAGGCCCCCACACTAGTGATTTTCTCCTAGCAATTTCTTTGAGATATGGTATGACATTGCCCATAGGCAGCTTTAAAAAAAAAAAAAAAAAAAAAGGCTTTCCTTTTCCTCCCCTTTAAAATATTGCTGTTAGGGGCCAGACAGTGTTGTGGTGTTTTAAAGTGGCTGGATCCCATGTGGCTGGTGTGTGGGTTAAGTCCCTCACAGCTTGCATAGCAAATCTCAAAAGGAGGGGAGAGTGGAGGAGAAAGGATGGTGGTGTGACCATGCCCCATGGGGGATGCTTTTTTACTCTCTCTCTCTTTCTCTCCCCAGTGAGTGCATGTGCCTTCTAGCAAAAATAAATAAATAAATAAATAAATAAATAAATAAATAAATAAAATAGTCAGAAAGTATATTAGTTTGCTAGGGCTGTCACAAAAACCAACCATAGACCTGACGGGTTATACACTAGAAATGAACTTTCTTACAGTTCTGGAGGCTAGAAGTCCAAGATCAAGGTGTCTGCTGATTTGGTTTCTTCTGGTGCCTCGCCTTGGCTTGCATATGGCCAACTTCTCCTGTGTCTTCACTTGGTCTTTCCCTGTGTGGGTCTGTGCCCTAGTCTCTTCTCTAGGCATATTGTACTAGGACCTACCCAAATGACCTCTTTAACCTTAATGATTTCAACCCTAATGACCTCTTTAAAGACCCTGTCTCCAAATCCAGTCACCTTCTAAAGTGGGAGTCAGGATTTCAACATATGAATTGTAGGAGGGATTCAGCCCAGCCAATAACAAAGCATAATCAGTGTCATGCTAAAGTTTAAAAATGCACATTGTGGATGAAAGTAGAATAAAATTTTTGTGATAGAAAACTTATTTATATGATCAGTTATAGTTAACCCAATTTTCTCTGTGTGTGACTTTGAAGAATTGTGTTTTGCAAAGCAAGCACAAAGAATGCTGACCATATAGGCAGCGACGTCCTTAAGCAAAGTGAGTGCACATTGCCATGCATCATGAACACTTCGGACTTCAGTGGCACTAGCGTTTTATCATTTGGGTAAATATAGACATTAGCGAAATGAGACCAGAATCAAATGGATGAATCGGAAGCATATTTGATGACTTTACAGTAAGTTAAATTGAAGACCCAATAAGATAGAGTGTAGAGCAGAGATTCTCAAGCTTGAATGAGCCCAAGATTCATCTGGGACACTGCTAAAATGCAGATTTCTTGACCCATCCTGATACACTGGGTTGAACAAGGAAGGACACTTAAGAATCTTCCTTTTTCTTTTTTCTTTCTTTTAAGAGAAATTTTTGCTAAGGGCATGTGTGCTCATTGGAGAGACAGAGAGACAGAAGGTGAGAAATCACTCCTCCCCAAGGGAGATGGCCACACCACAATGTCTTCTCCATTCACCTCTTGGGATTTGGGGCATGCATGTATAGGCACCTGACATGAGTTTAAAGTTGTCAGGTCCAGGACTCGAACCATGGTCAACTATGTGGGATTCCAGTGACATAACCATTACACCATCACCTGGTCTCAAGAAACTTCCTTTTAACAAGTATTCCAAGTGATTCTGATTTTCCTAAGACCTTCTGTGAAAATATAAAATTGCCTGCTTTCTGAAATTGGGCCCTTTATTTCTCACATTTATGGTATATCTGTAATTTAAATGATGGTATTTACATTAATTTGAAGGTCAAAAGTTTGCTATATTGGAAGAAAAGGTCATTCTTTCCTGCATCCTGAGGCACTTTTGGGTAGAATCCATCCAGAAGAGAGAAGAACTTGGTCTGGCAGGAGAGCTGATTCTTCGTCCAAGTAATGGCATCTGGATCAAACTGAAGAGGAGACATGGAGGAGGATCCTGACTGTACTGTGCGGCTGTGCTCTGATCGTGGGAGCGCTCTTGCTGTAAAACAAACTTGACTTTTTATGAGTTCGGTACTCTTAATTCCTAAACCAAATTTTCTCTGCCCGCACTGAATGTTTTTCAGAGTCAAGTCTACTGAAGCAAAAGTATTTGTATTTTCATCACCACACTGATATTACACCTGGTCTGGGTCCCAAAAATAGAGTTACCTGAGTCGATACTCAAAGTGATAATGAAGGTTTCAAAATAGCAATCCACAGGCCAATTCAATTTCAATGGATGGAACCAAAGGATATCATTCTTCCAGATTTAAAAAAAAAATGCATTCTTGTTGACTCAGGTTTACACACACACATACACATATACACACACACATTTTATATATATATATATATATATATATATATATATATATATATATAATTAAAAGTGAGTAAACGGCCACACCGCAATCCCTTCTCTTCCATTCTCCTCTTGGGATCTTGGGCACGCACACACACATGCCTGGTGAGAGTTTAAGTCACTGGGTCTGGGACTCAAACCGCGATCGACTACATGGGAGTCCAGAAACATAGCTATTACGCCAACTGCTGGTCCCCAAGTCTTTTAAAATTTTATCAGTGGTATTAGTTATTAGAAGAACAATTATTAGAGTATTCTTTAGATTTTATCAGCTAGAACGGATCCTTTACGATTTGCCTTACAGTTACTTCAGTTTCCCTTTTGCCTATGCACAGAGGGTCTTTATTTTGTTTTTCATAGAATCACAACTATCTTTATACGTTATACATTATTGGAAAAGGGTCTTAATAACCTCCAACTCCCACAGGGCCTCATAGGGTTGCTTAATGGCTTTTGGAGCTGAAAGAACCTTGAAAGCTATCCTGTCATAAGGAAATAGCATCAACAGGAAGTAGGTTTCTGCCCCAGCCATGCTACTACTCGCTGTGGGAGCTGGACATAGAGAGCAGTCTCTACTCTAAATCTCCCACTCGCATTCTGTTAGACTTTTTACTACACAATGCTGTTACTTTATGGGACTCAGTTGGGTCTGCGACTAGATGTGTCATTAGAACAACAGGCCTTCTGCCTCTGATTTAGGTATATTTCTTCTGGAATTCTTTCGTATTTAAAGAAAAATGAAGCAATTCATTTATAGTAGTAAACCAGTCGTATCTCATTTAGTTCAGGGTTAGAACTCTAGCTAATGCACTATTTCAGAACATACTTATGAACCTCATAACTGATTACCCTTTACTGGTTTCAAGTCAATGGGCAATCTCTCTATGCCTTCACTCAGTGATTTAAAAAAATTGTTTAATTTAATTTTATTCATTCATTTATTTAAATTTGACCAGAGGGAGACAGGAGAGAGAGAAAGAGAGAGAGAGGGAGAGAGAGAGAGAGAGAGAGAGAGAGAGAAAGCCACCAGATCCAGGACTCAACTGTGGTTGGATCATGTGGGGGTGTCCAGTGCCTTAAGCACCACACCACCTGCTGGCCCCATCACCCAGTGATTTTTAAAAACTTTTCAACAGAAATACTTTTTAACAAGATTGTTTTTCTCCCCAAGACAATAACTGATAAAAGACACAAGTCACGAGGGTAGGCTGTACACATATGGGGGCTAGCAGGTAACATAGTGGTTAAGGTGCTAGACTCCCATGTGACTGACTCTGGTTCAAGTGCTGGACTCGGCAGCTCAGAAATCAAGCCAGGAACATGTGCGCATGTGCCTAAAATCCCAGTAAATGAAGGGGAAGGGTTGCAGCATGGCCATCCCCCCAGGTGGTGATTTCTCACTGCCTTTCTCTGGTGAGCATGCCCTATGACAGAAAAACAACAACTGAGGAATATATACATATGTAGTCTTCAACGAATATTAAAGAAGGAAGTTACAAAACAAAATTCACATGGTAACAATTGCAGTCTAGGGTGTTTAGGGAAGGGTTGAGAATAATACAGCTTAATAGTCTCCAAGAACCCCAAAATATGCACTTTAATCACTACATTGATGGAGAAAAGTTCAGGAAAATCTTGTTTCCAGGTTATTTTGGATAACTGAAGTTTTATTTGTGGAAATTGGCATTACCTCTTAATTTTTATGTGTCTTTGTCTGTTTTTCCCTATTGACCCTACATTAGACAGGAACTTAAATTTCAAGTAAAACATTGTTGAATGATTTCTTTTGTTGTAAGATCTTTATTTAGCCCAAGGATAATTCATTACTCATATGTTAATTGGTAGTTTGCTTAACTTGTGTCAGCATAGATACTGAAAAATTGGCTTCTGTTCTGTAGTATCAAAACATGGATGCTGATTGCTCATTTTAGTAAGAGGAATGATAAAACATGTATATGTGCCCCCATGATTTGTCCTACTCCCGTGTGAAAGAAGTGCCTTAAGAAAATAAATTACATTTTGGACATGGGTGCTACATTTTATTTGAAGAATTGATGCCAGTTTGAAATATAGGTAGCTTTAAAAGATAAATCGGTGGATGGCTGATTCTTAATGGCTAATTTAAAAAATAGTACTTTAGGGGACCAGCAGGTGGCAAAATGGTTACACTGCTGGATTCCCATGTACTTGACTGTAGGTCTAGTCCAAGACCTGGCGACTTAAAAACTTAAAACTCCCACCGGGCGCTTGTACCTGAGTGCCCAACAGCCGAGAGGAGAATGAAAGAGAAGGGATTGCAGTGTGACCATCCCCCTTGGTTGGGGGATTTCTCTCTTTCTGTCTCTCTGTCTTTCTGGTGAGTCCACATGCCCTATATAACAATCTCTCTTAAAAAAAAAAATAGTACTTTTGAGTTGATGGAATCAGTGATGCAGACTCTCTAAGAATATGTTCGTGTGCCGATGTCATAGACCGATTGTGAATTTCCCTGATGCTGACGGATAAACTACAGGAGAAGTGAAATCCCCAGAATATTTTGCTCAGCTGACAGTAGCAAAAATAAATTTGGTAGCTGCCTGAGAATCAGCAAAAACTGCAACCAGCATCGGGCCCAGGGACTCAAGAGTCTAGAAACCACTCCAGGTGACTGACTGTTGAGAGGATTCCTGGTTTATTTTCACAGACAACTGAGAAATGTCAGTTTCTGGACCAATTGACCTGTGTCACAATTAAGAGATGCTGGTCACCAAAAAAGATCAGTTTTACCCTGGAATGTGTGTAGGAGACCACGATATCATTCCAGCATCCAATAAGACACCTCATAAGTACATTTGAAATTCCTTAGTTTGCCTAGAAATCTTTTCCCCCCACAATAGCACCCTTGTTATTTTTAGAACTATCCTATGAAATCTTCTCCCCTTTTTCCCTCTGTTTTCCTTACCTTACCCTTTTGCTTCACACACACACACACACACATACACACACACACGTGGGTCTAATTGGAGGTGTCACGCTCTTAGGCAACCCCACTTTTTCAACTTCAGTTGATTGACCTAAGCACGGTCAAATCTAAGTTCTCTCCTGGAGTTTTCCGAGGTAGAATTAAAGAATGGATGCAGCTTATCTCCTTCCATGGAAAGTCCAGGTTGTGAGGTTTGGGGCCCATCAGTAAGTGAACCTCTGGGACAGCTTCTCAGAGATGAAGATCACGAGTAGAGACAAAGCAGAGAGAGGAAGTGGAGAGAACCCGAAGGGTCCCATGTTCCAGATGCTGCCGAGGCCCAGGTGCCTTGTCTGCCCTCCCCACTGCTCAGTGGCCCCTGCTTTGGGTCCCACGAGAGTCAGGATAGAGCCATTTTGCTGAAGTAGCTTGTCTTTATTTATTACTCAAAGCAACATAGTATTGGGGGAGCTGTGGGATGAAGAGAAGGCTCCCATTCTTTGGACATGATCTTAGGTCTTCCCTCTGTTTTTTCATGTTATTCAAGAACCGATTTCTAGGCTGGCTTATCAGCACATTCAAAAGAACTTCAGAAAGTTTGTGGAAAGATGAAATTAAAGTACAAGTTTCCTTTAGTGCAAAATTTATTTTAAATCCATGCATAGTTTTTTTGGGTAATAGGTGTTTCCCTTGCATATTTGGAGACCATCTACGTCTGCTAGCAATGTAAACACAACAGCATTGGACAAAATGTGGCTTCTTTTCCAGAGAGTAGGAAAATTTAAGTATAATGTTTCATTTTAGAATACATCTAGGTTTATTCTAACACAATAATAGAGTTTCTTAGCTCCAGCCTGATAAATCTTCAGCTTTATTAGTCATTATTCTTCTCTAAGCAAACCACATTTAGTCTGGTTTTGTTTGTTTGTTTGTTTTTTATGGCTAACTGTATTTCACAGGGACAAATCTCTTACCTGCAATTACTAACAACAGACTGGTTACATTCTCTCCTCAATTTCTGGTTCATAAGCTCAGAAA